CCCCAACACCCTCATAACCCCCCCCAATATCCCCTATACCACCCTTATACCCCCCTATATCCCCCTATACACCCCAGTCCCAAACCCCCCGTCCCCAAAAGTTTCGCAGCGGATTTGCGCTGTACTCAGCAAGCACAGCACAGCTTCCAACTCAGATCTGGAAAAAAATTAGTGGATGGTTGTTTTCTGACTGGTCGGCACTGACCGGTCGGCCCTACTGGTCGGCTGCAATACGGTCGGCGGTCGGGGTCGGCAGTCGGCAGGGATGCAACCAAGTCCCACAGAGTTTTCTTGATTTTTTTAATGGTTATGAATCTTATGATGTTTCCAGCTTTCCACCCATCAAGGCTGAACCATGTGCCGCTGGCCTCATCAACATGTTTGGTCACAGTTTGTATTCCTTCTGATTCGTAAATTTAGGGCATGACCCAGGTGACCTCGCCCTCTGCAACTGAAACAGATGGGCGAAGACATGGTCCATCTCTGCAGCTGATTTGTTGGTGAGTGGAAGAAGGTACCTCCACTGTTATTGTCGTTGAAAAATGTTCAAAGTTCAAACCCTTGGGCTTAAGTGAAGATCTTTTTCGATTTGCACAGCAATTTGGTGTTGAAAAATGTTTGAAGTTCAAACCCTTGGGTTTACGTGAAGATCTTTTTCTATTTGAAAAATGTTCAAAGTTCAAACCCTTGGGTTTAAGTGAAGATCTTTTTCGATGTGCACAGCAATTTGGTGTTGAAAAATGTTCGAAGTTCAAACCCTTGGGTTTAAGTGAAGATCTTTTTCTATTCGCACAGCAATTTGCTTCTTGTATAGACGAACTAGAAGAAATGTTATTGAACAATCGTATTTGGAAACAACGACTTGTGATGTTGATTGAGCTGGGCAATTTGTGCGTCTTATGAGATGTGTGCCACTTCTCCAGTTTTGGACCTCTGCTTGTCGCGAAGGACTGTTTCCGAAAGCATCTGATTGGTGTTGTGCAATTTTATGTCGTCTTCAGGGTTCAGAAGCTGATAGCAAAGCGGGCTGGAATCAAGCCAGTGCCATGGGATGGATATCTGAAGTATTATCGTCCAAGTCCTAAATTCACCGAGAAGAAGTAAGGCCCTTGTGTGCATTGCTTGCCGTCACTTGAACATCATGTTAAAAATGGGTGTAGTTACCTAATTCTTGAATTTTCAATGTTGAATATTTTTCATCACTGTCGTTGCCACACAGTTTCTGACCATCTTTGCATCATTGCTTTGCAGCTGTGGTGCATTGCTGGCTATCATGGGTCTGCATGTTTTATTCTCTGTTGGAACCTCATTGGATGGCGTGTACGCAACGGGCCCCGTGGGTTCTCTATGTTCATGCTAAGAAAACATAATCCTTGCTACTTTTATGCGCCAAACACAATCATGGCCGCCTGTCCAACCAGGTCTGGGCTTTGTTAGCACGGACATAGCACCAGTGGGCCATGGTCTCAAGTTAACACATTGACAAGAAACAGTTCATGACCTCATATCGAAGGAGTCGACATATTCTCTTGAATCTGCCACAGCATTGCAGGTCTCCAGAGTGCCAAGCATAGATGAAGCACGTATGCAGCTGGGCTGGACTGTTTTCAGGAGCGAGTCGATGACTGCAGCTTTTTTTCTTCTTTTTTTTCCCTTTCTTGGTCCTGGCTCCACATCCATTCTGGGCAGCATCAGTCCACTTTCTTTTCTCCTGGCAAGTCATATCTGCAAGGAAGATGAGCAATAGCGAAGTTCAGCAGTCAAACAGCATCATACACATGAGACCAGATAGTCGTGACCTCGAACCAAAAGCAGAATTGCATCACGAGTTTCACCAAATAAGGGCACACCAAAAGCTCATAATTGACAATGCTGGAATAGTCTCATCATCATCATCAACGAAGAACCAATGTTGATATCCTATCTGGCGCTTGGCGCCCAGACTACAGATGGCAGATCCTATCCAGCCTACTCTACAATGCCGCGGATGACGTCAACAGCTCCCCGAAGTACGAGCAGATCTCGGCCAATGCCGCACGCTTCGAGCACCAGGTATGTCTCTCGTATCACTCTCAGCTTCGTTCCCCAACTCACAGATGTCACTTGCACCCAAGGACCACCATGCTCCCCATCCAGCATACAGCAGCGCAGCTCGGCTATGGCTGCCTGCTCCTTCCAGCTCGCCCGTGAGCGCGTGAGCCTGGCAGGCGATAGCGAAGTAGCCCTTGCGCATAAAGCAGCCAGTGCCCGAATGCCGAATGTGTAGGCTGGCCCTTTCCTAAATGGAAATGGCCAGCCTGCTTGCGTGCAGCCTGGCTGTGCTGGGTCCCTGCACAGAAGCTTCCGGTAGGCCCATGGAGGCTGAGCCTCAGACCAAACGAATCAGGCCCAGGGCCACCGACAGTTACCCGGGCCCAACTGCCCGCTGTCTGAGTTGGCCCTATGCTGCATATCTCGCCCAGGGCCTGACTTAGATACAGTCGATAAAGGAGGCCAGGGCCTGGGCGCCTTCAACCAACTGGCGCTGCGCAACTGCCTGAATCTTCCCCAGTTGCGAAGTAGTAAAAAATAGGCCTCTTGTCGTCTGTGGGGCCTGCCTTCACTTAGGGCGGCCGACCTTTGCAAGTAGGGGCCCAGTAGGGCTTATCGAGGCCTATGCCTCGCATATCTGGACCCACAACTTCTGGCACGACACAAGATGGAGGTGCATCGAAAGCACGTGTGGCAAACTTTGACCATCCAAGATCTTCATGTACTCACGTCGTCGTACGGGTTCACAGATTCGCCCATCGGCCAGCGCGGGCGGGGCATCCCTATAAGTCCTAAGTTCTCACAACCGTTCACGCACACGCAGTGCACGCTCATACCAACCGAAGTTCAATGTCCCCATGCTCCTCGGTCATAACTGCCGAGGCGTACAAACCCATGCTTCCTTCTGCTTGGCCGGAGGAACCCTGATCAGCATTGATTGGTCCACTCACATGGTGGATTTGACTGTCAGCTTGCCTTTCTTCTAGAAATCCCCGAAATGGTGTCGTAGACTCTTAGAGTAAAATGACCCTGTTTTTCCTCAGTAGAACACAACAGATAATAAGAAAAATAGTCCGCTCAGCTCTGGCGTCGTATCTCTGCTGCAATCGTTCCATTGGTAGTTGACCGGACTTCGTCACACTTTTTCTTTGTGGCCTCAGGGTTCCGCTCAGCTCTGGCGTCGTATCTCTGCTGCAATCGTTCCGTTGGTAGTTGACCAGACTTCGTCACATGATTTCTTTGTGGCCTCGGGGTTCTGCTGCATCATTCCTTCTGTATGACCCATAATATAACCTTGCGGATCATTCCAAAGCGGATATTTTCTGCCTTGGCAAAGTTAAGGGGTATGTTAGTCACGAGGAGGGGTTGGATGGGTTGTTCAGGGAGGGGAAATGTGCGAGCAACGGCTGTCCCCACAGATCCGAAGCCCCAGCCGAATAGTCTGTAGCCTCTTTACATCTGATTGGGTAATGCATCGTCTTCTTGTTCTTGGTCTGCGTGTGCTACTCAGAGGTCAGCGCTATTTGCATTTTTTCCTTCCTCGTGCAACCACTAGTTTATTGGCAGAGCGATGTAAGCTATGACCCACAACATACTTTTGTCCCTACATATATAACTATCGCTAATTTTCGGCCTGTGACAAGCAGACGATCCAGGCCCTCCGATTTTACACTCCGCGACCGTCCCGATCGTCTACTGATCGTTTTCTCTTAGAAGTTGAATCGTCGCACGTGGTGCCGGGCGTGCATGCCAGCACCTGTACGGTGCGCGGTACCGGGTCCACGCGCCTGCGCGGGTACTGTCGCATGTTACTGCGGAGCACCGGAACCGTGCACGGCACCGGAGCAGTGTGGGTACCATCGCACGTTACCAGGCCAGCGCCGGTACCGAGCGCCGTTCGGGGGCAGTGTGCGCTTACAACGTATAGCAACAAACTTTTTGCGCACTGCCCCGGTAGGTAGACTGGACATTGTCAGTAGACGTCGATTATACTTTGTGAGTTACAGCAACTGGACTCTAGACGGTCTAAGGTACTCGACGACGTTGTGAACTAGTCTACGCTATTCTAAGCTCTGCGTAGACAGGCTAACATACTCTACGACGTTGTGGACTGCCCTACTGTATGCTACTCTAAGCTCTATTCTATGCGTTCGACACACACGTGCACACACACACACACACACACTGCTGCACAATCCACACACCCACCCACCCACCCACACACACACACGCGCTGGGCGATGTGGTGAGTCCTTATTGCATCCTGGGCAGACTGTCGGGGCTCAGCCTCCTGATGAGTCAGTGAAAGTCTGACGAAACAGTCTGGCACAGTCGTCTCTCTCTCTCTCTCTCTCTCTCTCTGACACACACATGCACAGAAAGAGATTGTTGCTCCTAAGCTTTTTGCCATGCTGGATATTGGGCTGTGCATCGGGACGGGCGAGAAGGTTGGACGCTGATGCTTGGGCTGTGCATTAGAGCACGCCAGCATGACTGAAGGTGAGTTATTTCGAGCTTTTTGTTTGTGTGTGTTTGTGTGTGTTTGTGTGTGTGTGTGTGTGCGTGTGCGACCCACTTTGCTCGACGCTGTTACTCCACTGTATGCTGCGACGGTCGACTTCGACTTTGCTACTCTACTCTATGCTGTGACACTCGACTTGAACAATGCTGCTCTGCTCTGTGCGGCAATACCACGCTCAACGGTGTTCGCTACTCTACGGTGTGAGAGAGAGAGCGGCACAAGGTGAAGAGGGGGAAGCGGAGGGGCCGATGGGCGCCGGATCGAGCACACGCAAGAGAGAGAGAGAGAGAGAGAGAGAGAGAGAGAGAGAGAGAGAGAGAGAGAGAGAGAGAGAGAGAGAGAGAGTGTTACATCTTCGACACCACACGGGTCCTAGAGGGACACATCAGGGCCTAAAGGCCCGACCTTGGGGGATAACAGGCCGAAAGGCCACGACTTGGACCCGACTACGGACCAGGCCCAAATGACATTTCGTCTTTGGGCCTGACGGCGCCATTTGAGGCTGCCACTCTCCGGTTGGACCTGAATCGTCGATCTGGACGGTTCAGCCCCAACCAAGGCCTCGCAGCAGTGAGGCCGGTCCTCTTCAAACCAGTACTTAGTACTGGTCCGGCCTCACTTCGAGGCATCGACCCACCGGCACTCTACGCGGTGCGGTAAGGTCGGCGCCAGAGCGCCGTTTGA